GCACAAGACTTCAAAACCGACCTGCGTTTCCAGGGCTCAGCTGTGATGGCCTTGCAGGAAGCCAGTGAAGCTTACTTGGTTAGCTTGTTTGAAGATACTAATCTGTGCGCCATTCACGCCAAGCGTGTTACTATCATGCCAAAAGATATTCAACTTGCAAGGCGTATACGCGGAGAAAGGGCCTAAGTTCCCTTTTTTTTTTTTTTAAACCAAACGGCCCTTTTCAGGGCCATAAGCATGTTTATGGAATAGTTTTCCTCTTATATATTGAAGAAAAGAGATAGTGTAAAGAAAACATCTGCCAAAAGTGGATCCACGACATTTCAAACATTTTTTGGTTTTAGCGGATCACCGGATCCGCTGCGGACTGTTCTGACTGGCTCCCCCGTTTCCCTGCTCACCACTGCGTTCGCCGCTCCCGAGCCGGGTATAAATACTCATGCCCCCAGTTCCCTGCGTTCATTCTGTGACTAGCTCTCAAATCAACATGACTGGACGCGGTAAAGGCGGCAAGGGACTTGGAAAGGGAGGCGCCAAGCGTCATCGCAAGGTTCTCCGAGATAATATTCAGGGTATTACTAAGCCTGCAATCCGTAGATTGGCAAGGCGTGGTGGTGTCAAGCGTATCTCTGGTCTCATATATGAAGAGACTCGCGGTGTCCTGAAGGTGTTCTTGGAGAATGTCATCAGAGATGCAGTCACCTATACTGAGCATGCCAAGAGAAAAACTGTTACTGCTATGGATGTTGTTTATGCGTTGAAACGACAAGGCCGTACTCTGTATGGTTTTGGCGGTTGAAAGCTGTCAACATTCTTTCCAAACGGCCCTTTTCAGGGCCACAAAATACAATTGAATTCATTTTCCACTCCAAATCATTAATTTTCATGCCAATATCAATAATATTTCGCAAAAATATTTCGAATATTTTTGAGGAATCAAAGTTGTATCATGCCTTGTAATTTTTTCAAAAGTGGTGGATCAACGGATCCGGGGTCGCGTGCGCTCATTGGTTGCACTCGACTCCCGGCCAGACATGAGTTTGTGCCCCGGCTCCGCTGATCCGGATCCGCTCAATTTGTATATAAAACGCCACAATGCCTAACCATGCCATCACTCCGTTTCGAGCAGTGGAAGAAGAAACATGTCGAATCGTGGTAAAGGCGGCAAGGTTAAGGGGAAGAGCAAGACCCGCAGCAACCGTGCGGGGCTTCAATTCCCTGTTGGACGCATCCATAGGCTTTTGAGGAAAGGAAATTACGCCGAACGCGTTGGTGCAGGAGCTCCAGTTTATCTTGCAGCTGTTATGGAGTACTTGGCAGCTGAGGTACTGGAATTGGCTGGTAACGCTGCCAGAGACAACAAAAAAACCCGCATCATTCCAAGACATCTTCAATTGGCTATCCGCAATGACGAGGAATTGAACAAGCTGCTTTGTGGGGTCACAATTGCCCAAGGTGGTGTTCTGCCAAACATACAGGCAGTCCTTTTGCCAAAGAAGACTGAGAAGCAGAAGTGAGCTTCTTCAGGATGAGCATATTCAAACGGCCCTTTTCAGGGCCAATATTTGCAATTGAAACTGCCGCATTCATTTTGAGAAGTAATAATGTTGTATTGTGCATCATCTTTTAATTGTCAGTATTAACTTCCAGTAACTTGTACCTATTTCAAATGAATTCGGAATTCGTGAAAACGCCGCGAAATGTAAATTGTACCTTGTGTGAAAACATTTGGATCCGCGACGGAGCGTTGAGATTAGTTCTCCACTGCATCGTTTCGGTGAGCTACTGGATCCGCGTGTCCTTGCCATGATTGGCCAAACCAGAGTCGGAACCGGCGCGCGTGTGGCGCGCGGATCCGTCTCTCGAGTATAAATGCGATGCATTGCAGCGCGTCCTCATGATTCCTGTTTCAACTCTTGGCGTGCGCGGACTAAATTTTTTGGATCACCGGATCACAGCAGAGCGTTGGGCTTGGCTCTCCACCGTTGCCATCACATTGCACTACCGGATCCGAGTTCCGCTGCTGTGATTGGCCTAACGCGAGCGGGAACAGACGGGCGTGCGGCCCGCGGATCCATCTCTTTAGTATAAATACGCTGCTCTTCAACAAGTTGTCATCATTCCTACCATGGCTCCCAAAGTTAGCGGTAAAGCTGTTAAGAAAGCCGGAAAGGCCCAGAAGAACATCGCGAAGGGCGATAAGAAGAAGAGGAAGAAACGTAAGGAGTCCTACGCAGTGTACATCTACAAGGTTTTGAAGCAGGTTCATCCTGACACTGGCATTTCAAGCAAAGCCATGTCCATCATGAATTCCTTTGTGAATGACATTTTTGAAAGGATTGCCAGCGAATCTTCCCGCTTAGCCCAATACAACAAGCGCTCAACTATTTCCAGTCGGGAAATTCAGACTGCAGTTCGACTTCTCCTTCCTGGTGAACTTGCAAAACATGCAGTATCTGAAGGTACCAAGGCTGTCACCAAGTATACCAGCAGCAAGTGAGGTGTTTCATGTTGTGAAAAAGGCCCTTTTCAGGGCCAATATGTTAGATGATGCTTCTATATTTCCCCAAAAATGATATGCAATAATACTTCTGCAAATCAAACTTGAGTATCCGGATCCGCTGACCCATATTCCAATTTGCTTTGGCTTCTAAACCGTGTTGCATGATTCATAATGGAATACAGCATCACATAAACAGTAGGATTCAAACTTTCTTTTTAACAAATATTTACTTGATGCCAGAATAACTGATATGCGGGTTTGTGCCTGAATTGAACGAATCAAGTATAATCAAAGTTTGAAATGATGGTGAATACAAAATCTGGAAGAAAACGAATGACGCGGATCGTCGGATCCGCGCACCCGGGCCCGGATTGGCAGCCCGGGTGACACGCTTCTGCTGCGCCGAACGGCTTGACGCGGATCCGTTGATCCGTTCAAAGTAAAAACTTCCCCGTTTATGTTAGTTGGGCCTTAAGAAAAGCTGGAAACAAAAAGTTTTCAGAAATTTACAATTTTTGAATATGTTGTGCATACTGTCAATTCCGAGGAAAAAAGTTGGACATCACCTTTTTCTTGTATACAAAAGCGACTGGGTGATAAATTGATGTGTAATGAGAAATCTGAACGAAAACGAACGCCGCGGATTGTCGGATCCGCGCAAAAGGGCCCTGATTGGCTGCCTGGATGACATGCTTCTGCTGCGCCGAACGGCTTGACGCGGATCTGTTGATCCGTTCAAAGTTAAAACTTCCCCGTTTATGTTAGTTGGGCCTTAAGAAAAGCTGGGAAAAAAAAGTTTTCAGAAATTTACAATTTTTGAATATGCTGTGCATACTGTCAAATTATGATGGTGTGCAAAAAAAAATTTGAATCAGAGAAAAATTGAGTGAGTTGGGCCTTACTGAATGTTTGCCAAAAAAAGTGTGCAAAAATTTACAATTTTTAAATATGTTGTGCATCTTGTCAAATTATAATGGTGTGCAAAATAAAAATTGAATCGGAGAAAAAAAGTTGGACATCAACTTTTGACGCGGATCCGTTGATCCGTTCAAAGTAAAAACTTCCCCGTTTATGTTATTTGGGCTCTAAGAAAAGCTGGAAACAAAAAGTTTACAGAAATTTACAATTTTTGAATATGTTGTGCATACTGTCAATTTATGATGGTGTGCAAAAAAAAATTTGAATTGGAGAAAAATTGAGTGAGTTGGGCATTACTGAATGTGTGCCAAAAAAAGTGTGCAAAAATTTACAATTTTTGAATATGTTGTGCATCTTGCCAAATTATGATGGTGTGCAAAATAAAAATTGAATCAGAGAAAAAAAGTTGGACATCACCTTTTTCTTGTATACAAAAGCGATTTGGTGGTAGATTGATGTGTAATGAGAAATCTGAACAAAAACGAACACCGCGGATCGTCGGATCCGCGCAAAAGGGCCCTGATTGGCTGCCGGTTGAACACCAGAAACTCCCGGCCAATGGGAGGGCTCGACGCGGATCCGTTGATCCGTTCAAAGTAAAAACTTCCCCGTTTATGTTATTTGGGCTCTAAGAAAAGCTGGAAACAAAAAGTTTACAGAAATTTACAATTTTTGAATATGTTGTGCATACTGTCAATTTATGATGGTGTGCAAAAAAAGATTTGAATTGGAGAAAAATTGAGTGAGTTGGGCATTACTGAATGTTTGCCAAAAAAAGTGTGCAAAAATTTACAATTTTTGAATATGTTGTGCATCTTGTCAAATTATGATGGTGTGCAAAATTTAAATTGAATCAGAGAAAAATTGAGTGAGTTGGGCCTTACTGAATGTTTGCCAAAAAAAAGTGTGCAAAAATTTACAATTTTTGAATATGTTGTGTGTTGGAAACTGCTATGAGACTCTCCTGATTTTCATTGGCGATGTATGTTTTCATTGGCGATGTATGATTTGTTGGCAATGTATTTTCATTGGCGATGTATGATTTTCGTTGGTGATGTATCTTTTCATTGGTGATGTATTTTCATTGGCGATGTATGATTTCATTGGCGATGTATGATTTCGTTGGCGATGTATCTTTTTGTTGGAGATGTATGGATTTGTCTGCTATGCATGAATTCGTTGGCAATGTATGAATTTATATGCTATGCATGATTTGTTGTTAAAGTTGTGAATTCGGAATTTGTCTGAAGAAAAGAAATTGGCTTCAAGCACCCGCGTCTGTTTGTTATTTCCGGGGCAGCTGCAACAGCTGCAGGGTCATTTATTTGTTTGGCTCAAATTGAGACGCTGTTTCCCCGAAGTCTGTGTTTTCTTTTGGACCAGATGGTCCCAGGTTTATGTTTTCCAAGATGCCGACTTGTTTTTTGACTTGAGAAGAAACCAACAAGCGCGCAAAAAGGATAGGGACATCTGGTTCTTTTGTAGTTGGAAAACTCTACCCTCTTATTTTGGAAGGGAGATAGCGATCTCCGAGTCCTCGACCCCTGGAAAAGGGACGGAAGAGCGCACCGCCAAAGGGGTGTTATCTGATCCCCCTTGCATGCGCGCGATCCCCCTTTTTCCGCCGCCTTGCGTTTTGAGCTTGGGACTGGTAGAAATTTCATTCTGTGCTCTGCCTCGCACTGGGATTTGACTCCAACATTTTTTGAGTGTGTATTTGCCGACTTGTGTATTTTCGTGAAAATATTTTTGAAGATTTAATTTTTGCGAATTGATTGTGTGCAATTTCGACGCGAGTGTTAGGGATCTCCATTTAAGTTGTCTTGTATTTCGAGATCCTAATTTTGTGTTGTGCATTTGTCGAGTCTGTGTCTGACATTTTTGGTTTTTTGTAATTTTCAGACAGGGACGCGAAACCCTCCCTTTAACTCAACACCCGAATTGTAATATTCGAAGTTGCTTATGAAAAATTGTACAAAGGCTCTGCATGTTGTTGTGCATTTGTCGAGTCTGTGTCTGACATTTTTGGTTTATTGTAATTTTCAGGCAGGGACGCGAAACCTCCCTTTAACTCAACACCCGAATTGTAATATTCGAAGTTGCTTATGAAAAATTGTATAAAGGCTCTGCATGCCTGATCTGTGCCTGACGTGAAATAAAATCGATGTGAATAGCTGTAAGCTAAGTTCACCTTCATTTCGGCACACAGCAACAAAGGTTATCCGCCTGTCGTCGTTAAATCTCAATCGTCCTGAGGGAATTACGCACCCTCCAAAGGGCGCAGAACAACTCAGCTTTCCGGATTAATTGAATCAGCGAAGCAACATCTTGTCGCGCGTTTTGAGAGATCGACGCCAACAAGCACCACTCGGCGCCGTAAACCACGGCCGTTTGGGATAAGCATTTGGATCTTTCAATTGGTATCTTTAATCTTGCCCATCGAATATTGCACCTAATATTTGTCAGCAGCAGATAAGTTTCAAACCTACCCGAGTTCGAAATTTGCTTCAGTGGAATGGAATCGATCGTGAAACGATTCTGCAAGTCGTTTTGGATTAACGTCTCGAAAACTTTCGGCCTATGAAGCAATAAAAGAGAATATTTCAAGAATTAATTAACATGACGTCATGAAAATAAAGGTGGGACAGGGAAAAAGGCGAAATTATTCGGCTTTCCACAGCTACAACCCACGTTTGAAGCGTACATGTGTTCAGGACATTTCCCTGCGCAAATCATCCACTGTATGAAATTTGTTTCATTTTTCAGCTAATATTAATCTCTTCGCACGTGCTTCTGCAAATTCTATGATCGCACGAGCATTAATCCCTGAAACATTCACGCAGTTGGGGTTCTGGTGACCAATGAATCACCCTCTGCGAGGGCATTTCGCCAAGTCCTCACAGTTGCACTTGAACTGAAAATATTTGATCCAAGATCAGAATAGGAAAATTTTCTCGATTCCTATCCTTCTGCTGGCATAACTGAATTTTTTTTTATAACCCCGTTGTTCCAAATTAAATGAAAAAAGCATGAAACAATTCCAATCAAAATTTATGCAACGATGGGATTGAGCAGATGTGCACCCTCATGCTCCACCACTGTCTACATGGGTTCAGGAGGAAAGAGTTGAAAAAAATAAGCTTTTGGGGACCGAACTCAAACGCATGCAAATCCTGATAAATGATTTTCATAATTGTAACGCATGAAAGCCACTGCAAAAATTGCGAAGATGAGCAGCTGGAAATATAGGCAGAAGGATTTTGAATGTGGTATTCATTCAGTGTGACATATAAAAGGCATCAAAACTGGATTGTACTGTAAATATCGAATTAACCTGAAATATACTGTATTGTATACGTGGATATGTGGTGGATCATGTTTTTGTTTCCGTTGGAAAATAACCAGTCATTTGAAGTTGATTGATGGGTTTGCATTCGTCAGTCCAAGTATTTTTGAGAACACCCGCACCAGCCATTTCTCTGGAAACTTTCCATGACAACATGTGTTTCCATGAGGGTTATCCCAACGTTTTCGAAATTTTCTGTTGATTTGGCTCGGTCCAATGTGGGCAAAGCAGCCCGGGAATCCAAGGCGTGACTCGCAGTTGGTCCGAACTCGCCTCGGCCCAGGGATGAACATAATTCCTGGATGAATGTGAAAACCTAGGTCGGGCTACAGTGACACAAAAGCCTGGTCATGCTCAATGCCGGGATCATCTGCCTCGTTGCACCCACTGCACGACTGCACCAGGGTCGCCTTTTTCCCCGGAGCCGCCGTTTCCGTGAGATTAGCCCAGACTTTCCAGGGCGGACAATCCATACAAATTGGATAGGAATTCTCCGGGATACGGGGAGAAAGAGGCGGGAGTAAAAACCGGAGTTCCAGTTGATTTGTGCGGCGTGATTCATATTTGGATTGTGCCAAATGATCAGTGGTTACTCTTCAATTATCGACCCTTTTGCACTGTACTGTACTTGCTCTTGTTATCCGGAATCGTTCAGGCTTACGTTACTGCTTCGTCAATCCAGAAAAGTGTTCCTAATATCTCGCTTTCCTTAAAATTGCTAAAAAAAATAATA